TCTATACTTTCTAAGGCCCCACGTAACAAACATCATATCTATACTTTCTAAGGCCCCACGTAACAAACATCATGTCTAACACGTAACAAACACCATGCCTATACTTCTCTAGGCTTCACGTAACAAACATCATGTCTATACTTTCTAAGGCCCCACGTAACAAACATCATGTCTATACGGACATCACTTCCTCTAAATATTTATTAACTACAAATAAGTACTATTTCTGTACAAATCGTATCGCCCCCAAGTGGCACAGTAATATGTCTGCGAAACAACTTTCACACGTTTGAAACAATGATCATTGGAGAGTTCGTGAGGCACCCAAATACCTTCTTTATGAGGTTTTCCCATATTCTTTGCACCCCACAGTGACACGGCGGTATGTCTGAGGACTTACAACGCTAGAAACCGGGTTTAGATACCCGTGGTGGGCAGAGCACAGATAGCCCTTGTGTAGCTTTGTGCATAATTAAAAACAAACAAACAAATCGTATCATTTTGTTATCATATTTCTCATCAATTAGTGAGATGAGTGTAAACTATTATGTTTTTGTTTTGGATTATCATTTTGGTTTTACAGAATCGTCTGCTAAGAAAATGTATCTGAGATTAAAATCCACAATACCGAGTGTTCATCTCGATTCTCTTAATCAACAGCTTTAATGTAAATAGGCATCTAAAGTTATCAATTTATATTATGTAACACAAAAAAATGTTTAAGTGCCAGTGATTTTGGAGCAATATATATATATGTGGTCGTTAAGCTTTACGAAGTACGCCTCTTATCAATTAACCCACTTTCATGCATGTTCTACTTGAGGATGATGAATTGGCGTATAGGTAACAGCGTCACTATATATTGACGTCAAGTTAGAAACGGTAGCACCTACTGAAATCACGTGTTCGGGGTAAAACGTGTTTACGCTTACTTCAACAATATTGTTCATAGCTTCATTCAAGATGTTCTGATACAGCACCACCCGTCTGTAACCATAGGAAAGGAGCGTGGACTTTCCTTGCGCTCGTGATTGTTATGTCTCTGATCGCTAGTTAATTTTCCGTATAATTTCTTTCTGAAGAAACTATAGCGATACAAGTCCTTTCTTAAATAAAACTGGTTTATTCTTTCTAAATACAACTTTGCAATACACTTAATTTCCACGGTCACGCTATAACTTAAACAAACGCTATAATTCACAACGAACGTCTCACGTGCTCAACAATACGTCTCTCTCTGTCCGCAGTTCAATTACACATTGTTGCCGTCACGTCCTGACCGTCTTATATGAACAAGAATACCGAAATCTAGCACCCTCCCGAGGCTTCGTGAACGTTCCAGAAGCGCGTGACGTGTTACTAGTGTCACGTGACCTCCGCTGTAGTAACATGATATATGTGTAAAGGTTACATGTGTAAAGGTTAGTTACGAATGTTTACTATACCTAACAACTGCCGTCTTTGGCATGTGTAAAGGTTGTTAGTGTCTCAGAAATTTACTTTTATTAATTTCATTTTCTTCCTTCTTTATTTTCTCGGAAAATATCTTGAGTAGTAACTTGTATCAGTACATATAAATACACAATGTAGGGTTTTGTTGGGAAAATATGGAAGATGAAATACATATTTATCTGTTTGCACACCTGTAAGTATTGTACCTGTGGTAATAATAGCAAATTTGTAAAAGAAGCCATGTAACTAAAACTACATTTGGTTTCCCATAATTTAGGTTAGAGCCCTAATGAAAAAGGTGTTGGAAAAATGAATTAACTACGTAAATCTATGATGAAAAGAAAACGACATCCTAGACAAACATACATAAGAAGAAGTGAAGGAAAGTGACTTTCTAGTGAATATTTAAAGATCAAGAGGGTGTGAGGGGAATCAATGTATCAATATAAAGATCAAGAGGGTATAATAGGAATCAGTGTATATATTTAAAGATCAAGATGTGTGTGAGGGGAATCAACGTATCTATTTAAAGATCAACAGTGTGAGAGAAATCAGTGTATCTATTTAAAGATCAAGCGAGTGTGAGGGGAATCAGTCTATATATTCAAAGATCAACAGTGTGAGAGAAATCAGTGTATCTATTTAAAGATCAAGCGAGTGTGAGGGGAATCAGTCTATATATTCAAAGATCAAGAGTGTGTGAGGGGAATCAGTGTATCTATTCAAAGATCAAGAGTGTGTGAGGGGAATCAGTCTATATATTCAAAGATCAAGAGTGTGTGAGGGGAATCAGTGTATCCATTTAAAGATCAAGAGTGTGTGAGGCAAATCAGTGTATCCATTTAAAGATCAAGAGTGTGTGAGGCAAATCAGTGTATCAATTTAAAGATCAAGATAGTGTGAGGGAAATCAGTTTATTTGAACCTCGTGAGTGCACAAAGTTAATGAACAACGTAGAGTTTCCACAGCAACCAAAAAATAATAAACTTAATGCACTTGAACTAATGATAAATATAACGTCAGCTATTTTAAAGATTTAAAGAAACATATACCACAGTTGTGAAACTTATACTACACTTGTGAAACTTATACCACAGGTGTGAAACTTATACCACAGTTGTGAAACTTATACTACACTTGTGAAACTTATACCACAGGTGTGAAACTTATACCACACTTGTGAAACTTATACCACATGGTGTGAAACTTATACCACACTTGTGAAACTTATACCACATGGTGTGAAACTTATACCACACTTGTGAAACCTATACCACATTGTGAAACTTATACCACACTTGTGAAACTTATACCACACTTGTGAAACTTATACCACACTTGTGAAACTTAAACCACAATTGTGAAACGTATACACAGTTGTTAACTGAAACGTTATAAAGTGAAAAAAAGAAAAGTTAATGGTTCGTTCTTTTAATTCAGTTACCTGCTCATCATTAGAATATGAATCATCAGCATGCCGAGAAACAGAAAAAAGACGCACAGCAGATAGTACTTGAAGAGCGGGTCGATCTGCGTCAGGTACGGTTTCTCTTGTTCTAGCTTGTAGAAGGTAAGAAACAATGGGTGGATGCCATTGTTACTACACCACTGGCTGTGGGTAAAAGATAATACCTATAAACAACGACCATCTAAGATAGCGATAAAGATTCTATTTTAAGACGTTCATTAAATACATTTCTGTAATTATACGTCTTAAATAACGGAAGGTAAAGCACAAAACATATTTTAATATTCTAAATTATCAATGAGTTCGGATCAAAGCAAGTTTACTGAATATATAATAATTGAACTTATATCTTAATAAGTTATGTGAGTTATTTCATATAATTAATGCTATAAAACATAAAAAAACGTATACTGATTAGAATGTATCAATTAATCAGTTCAGTATTCTCGCTTTTATCATTATTTTAGGTCCTAAAAAATTCTTATTACTTGTTCATGGAAACAGTCTTTACAAAGTTCAACAAGTTTCAATGGCCTATTTATACTAATGTTGTCTTAAATAGTTCAAACCATTGTCACATCTAAAGGAAAAAAAAATCGAAAGCTACACAGTGGTCTGAAGCTAAAAACACTTAATTTAAATGACCGAATTTCTAATACTCACAGACAATTAGAAACGTAAAGGGGAATATTACCAGTACACTTTAGGGCATTTTTACACCCAATCAAATACTTTCGTCGTGTAGCTTACTAATCAACTTTAGGCTAATTTATGAATCATTTCGCTACTCCAAACTGTTCGGTCTTTTTTTTTTCGAAATTTCGTCCAAAGCTACATAAAATTCCATCCGTGCATTGCCGTCTCTAATTTGGAGCTAATGACGTAAAATCAAGGCAAGTGGTGAAGATTACTCACCAAAACTAGAGTGAAGGCAAGTAGTCAAGATTACTCACCAAAACTAGAGTGAAGGCAAGTGGTCAAGATTACTCACCAAAACTAGAGTGAAGGCAAGTGGTCAAGATTACTCACCAAAACTAGTGTGAAGGCAAGTGGTCAAGATTACTCACCAAAACTAGTGTGAAGGCAAGTGGTCAAGATTACTCACCAAAACTAGAGTCAAAGCAAGCTGTCAAGATTACTCACCAAAACTAGTGTGAAGGCAAGCGGTCAAGATTACTCACCAAAACTAGTGTGAAGGCAAGTGGTCAAGATTACTCACCAAAACTAGAGTCAAAGCAAGCTGTCAACATTACTCACCAAAACTAGAGTCAAGGCAAGTGGTCAAGATTACTCACCAAAACTAGAGTGAAGGCAAGTAGTCAAGATTACTCACCAAAACTAGTGTGAAGGCAAGCGGTCAATATTACTCACCAAAACTAGAGTCAAGGCAAGTGGTCAAGATTACTCACCAAAACTAGAGTCAAGGCAAGTGGTCAAGATTACTCACCAAAACTAGAGTCAAGGCAAGTGGTCAAGATTACTCACCAAAACTAGAGTGAAGGCAAGTTTGTCAAGATTACTCACCATCAACTCACGGTATATATATATATGTATACTTTTGTCTGGCTATTAAACTTAATTCACTTTATGAGCTTTTGTGACTTAGAACTCTAAAATACGGGGCTCGATTACCAGCGATGGAGAAAGTAGCCCATTGTGTAAGTTTGCGCTTAAACGACAATAACAAAAACACAACCTTACTGATATGTATATATTCAGGAAATGTTTTTCGGTAATTAATTTCAAACACTGAAGTACAACAGTGATGAGCGGCTTTCTGGTGTGTATAAAACTGAAGTGCAAGAATGATGAGCGGTTTTCTGGTGTGTATAAAACTGAAGTGCAAGAATGATGAGCGGTGTTCTGGTGTGTATAAACCTGAAGTACAAGAACGATGAGCGGTGTTCTGGTGTGTATAAAACTGAAGTACAAGAACGATGAGCGGTTTTCTGGTGTGTATAAAACTGAAGTACAACAACGATGAGCGGTTTTCTGGTGTATATTAATGATGTCAATAAAATATAATGTTGAAATTCCTTAAATGTCGATTAGTTTGACATCTTCTTCGTTATTTTTTTTGTGTTTTAGAGTTTTCGGCAAACTACACTTGAGCTGTCGTTCCTTATTTTGAATATATAGATTAGATGGAGGGCAACTTGTCAACATCCCACTGGCTACTTTTGAATAGTGGGATTTGGTCGTCACTATTGTAGAGCACCCATAGGCCAAAAGTTTGGAGCGCATTTTTGCGATAACGGAACGTAGACAGAGAACTAGAATTCACAGTTTGGATACGTTAATAGCTGTGTTACGCGCGACTTGTTACTTGAAACGAGAAATAAGATTTATTGTTATATTACGATATAGTGATATTAACAAAGGGTAATTAATCTAGGATTATTCAGGGATTTTGTTAAGTAATAGTAATAAAGTACAAGATTATCTAGACAACCGAACAGAGATAAAAATGGTATTCAATTTATTATCCAAACTGACAACCTTGAAATAGTATACTAGATTAGGAGTTTGATAAGAACGATTTTGTTTCACATTAGCAAGGCAAATTAAGCCTGAAAAAAGTATATTTCAGGAAGAGTGTGATGGAGAAAAATGTTCTGGTAAAGAAAACTTACTCCTTCTTACTAAGCTGCATACTGTTGATAGCAGAATCCAAGCCTTTGTTCACCGATTTCCTCATCATCTGAAAGTTCGTGATGCTGAAAAATATGAATATACGTTATTGTTTTACGGTTTCTTTCAATCAATTATTGCTAATTAGATACCTAATTTGACACGTACTTCTATAAGTACCTAATTTGACACGTACTTCTATAAGTACCTAATTTGACACGTACTTCTATAAGTACCTAATTTCACACGTACTTCTATAAGTACCTAATTTGACACGTACTTATTTAAGTACCTAATTTGACACGTACTTCTATAAGTACCTAGTTTGACACGTACTTATTTAACTACCTAATTTGACACGTACTTCTATTAGGTACCTATTTGACACGTACTTCTATTGGTAACTAATTTGACACGTACTTCTTTAAGTACCTAATTTGACACGTACTTCTATAAGTACCTAATTTGACACGTACTTCTTTAGGTACCTAGTTTGACACGTACAATTGGTTTGACTTTCAGTGGAGTTGAAATAATACTGAGACAGAGAGTGTTGTGTTTTTTTTTAAAGATACAAAGGATTTGTTTATTTATTTAAATGTTTATGAACAATATAGGTCATATATATATATATTCTCACCTGTAGTCCAATATGGTTGTTCTCCTGGATCGAACCATAACACTATCACTGTCTCCACCAGTTGATGACCTCTATTGTAAGAAGACCCATTTAGCACACTTTTAGCAGTTGTGGTTGTAACGATGTAACAGTAGTCTCACAATTTAAAGTCTAAACATATATATGTAATTCAATATATATGTAATGATTTTTTCGAAAGACTTTTGTGACAATGGATACAGGATTACTGGCAAGTAATTCATGTCAGTGTAAATGTTCGAAATTACATGGAAAACATGGAGTCAAATATTCTGAATTATTTTTATAATGCTCTGTAGACACTCTTGCTTATATTAAAACTTATAATATATTATAAATGTAACATTAGGCCCAAATTTACCTAAATCTCTATAAACTATATATATGGGCTGAACACACTTTATGAGAACGGCTTCCACAAGTTAATGTCGTCACACGTTTAGCACGTATTTATATAATACATATGCATTCCAGTGCAGTGCTATTAAAGTAAAATTTATAGCTGAGGAATTATGTCGAAATCTTTTCCAAAGAGAGCGATTCGTATGGCACAACTTATAATTAATCAATGTACAACCAAAGGACGTAACGTTTAAAAAAGGAAGAGAGATTTCAACATTTTCTTTGAAAGCGGAAAACTCTCCGGGTGGAGTGGAAGATTTAAAACCGTATCCCAAACCAAAGAACCGTACACACAGATCCGTCATGTGAAGATTATGGTTACGACAGAGAACCCACGGACTTAGAAAGCCATTACCATAAAGATAGATTTATCGTCTGGTGCCGTTAACAATTTAATAGGGTAGATAAAGTCACGAAGGCTAATATAATCGCAAGGTTCAAACCACTTCACGAAACCAACGGCTTCTTTCATTAAAAACTTGGTATCCTATTACACCACGTATCTATCACGTTTCCGGAAGAAGCTCAAATGGACTTTTGTGCTTTACGTCTGCTTAAAAACAGACTTCAGTTGTCAGCTACTTATAGCCGACGTACACTTACATACAGTGAATAATCAGCAACTTAAAGCCGACGTACACTTACATACAGTGAATAATCAGCTACTTAAAGCCGACGTACACTTACATACAGTGAATAGACAGCTACTTATAGCCGACGTACACTTACATACAGTGAATAGACAGCTACTTATAGCCGACGTACACTTACATACAGTGAATAGTCAGCTACTTATAGCCGACGTACACTTACATA